AAAACAACTCAACCAAGAGCATACACAGCCCCAGAATGAAAACACATTCTGCAACTCTGGGTAGTTCAGACATACTTAAATAAGGTTTCGGGGACTTCGTAGGTCTCTGGTTACTGGCTGAAACCCAGTGTTCATCGTGAGGTATTAGCTAGTTGGTGTCTGCACCTTCTTTAGCTTGGAATTAGGGGATATGGTATGTTTTCCAGAGAAGCCATGGTTCTTCCCTGTGCCTACAGGGTGAATGATACACATCATAGCTGGCGTCTTTGTTAATGTCTGAACAGAAGACAGAGGATTAAATAGGCCTAACAGCTGAGGGGATTTTCAAAGGCATGAGTGGTATTCAAAAATGTATCTCCTGCTGGTTTCTATGGGTTTTCCAGTCTTGCTTTGAGATTCCTGGTTTGGTGTGGGTCTGTCTCCCCACTGCTCTCCCCGACTCTGTTGTGGACAAGCTGCTTATGGGTGTTCGATGAGATCTGGGGAAGTTTTCAGAGGTACGAATGGCAACACCCAAGTTACACTGGTGGGATGGAGGAGCCCATGCTTGGTGGGAAAGAGCTAATGGAGAACCATCCTAGAGAAGGTTCTAGTACCCCATGCTGTGAGGAGCTTGGGGGTGAGGTCAGGTGCCATAACAAAGGTGCAGTCTGTCTTTCTGAGGCTGGGTTCCTCTCACCCTGAATTGACCTTGAATCTGAAGCAGAGGGCAGTGGGGCTATTCCTTATGAAGTAGCAGCCAGAAAAAGGAGAATCCTTCACTGGAAGGACTCTATGAAAAAACAACTGAGCACTAAAATACCCAAAAGTGAGGTTTCAGGACAGGGCAGTTATTGACCTGTGCAGGACAAGTGAAACTGTGTTTTGGACAACACAGGGAGGAGTATGAAAACTCTAGTGCTGGATTTAGTTAGAAACTGCTGACACTGTTGGCTCTGTGGCATTTGAGCAACATTTTTTAGAAGCCAACATCATAAAGCTGTCCATTGTCCAGCAACCAGTTTCAGGGCAAACATTTCCATCCCCCTCCCACCGCACCCATTGAATTGAGATGACAGGTTTCTAAGTAGTTTTAGTCTGAAATGTGATGTTTGGCAACTGATCTTGCTTTGTGTCCTGTGGGATATCCTGTCCCTCCTGGCCTGCAGTATCTTATGTCATTAGAGCCTCTTGAGGCACATCCCCTCCCTCAGAGTAGGGAGAGAAATTCTACCTGGAGTTTTGTTCCCGTGGAAGAGGAAATCCAGCCTTTTACCAAGTACTCTAGTTCAACTGAAGCAGCAGGAACTATCAGGGAATGCTTGTAGTACGGAACAGATCATGTGCAGTGAAATGTCATTTTCAAGTGCTTTCTGAACTACCCATCCCAGTAATGAAGCAGCTCTGAAATACCACATGACTTCCTCAGTGCGCTGCTCTATGCAACCTCGCCTTTGATCGTGATGTCACTTCAGATGAAAGCCTCGCTTGGAGAGTGGTAGGTTCTGCATTGGGATCAGCTGATATCCTGTGGGATCTCAGCAGTGGAGGACTATTTGAGATGTGCTCTCTATGCTTGTCAAAGAGAAGTGCTGCAATAAAGACAGTAGTCAGATATTCAAACTCGCCTCAGTTTGGGTAGAAGGAGGCCTTCCCCTTGATGTAAAAAGACCTGCTTAATCTGAAAGTTCTTCTAGAAAGGATTTTAAGGATGAGTTGTCATTTTCACTGTCTTTCAGCTCAGTGATTTCCTCCAGGTGGCCCTGCTTGAGCATGGGGATTGGGCCAGATGAACTCCAGAGGTTCCTTTCAACCTCAGCCGTGCTGCGATTCTGTGATTTTGGCATTTTGTTACCAATAGAAGTGAAACTGACACCACAAAGCACCTCTTCTGCTTCCGTGAGCACAAGCAGCTCTCCACAGGATAGCCTCAGTGAGCTCAGCCAGTACCCTTACATAGCTTTACTCTTGTGCCTGGGAGCCCGATGTTTGGTGCCTTATGTCCCAGCTGAGTTTAATGTATGTTGGGCTTTTCTAGTGAATTTAAACCCAGGCAAACTTACAACCGCACACTCTGTAGTCCAGGGGTGGCAGGAAGTCAGCTGGCCCAAGCAAGCCTGTCCAGTTCCCATTGCTTTACCTGCAGGAAAACGCTCCAAAAGCCCAAAGAAAGCAGAGACATTTTTCTTACTCTGAAGCCTTGATGTCCTTCTCAAGCAAATGTGGCCAGAGATGATGTCAGGGCTGTGTCCTGTTTCAGCAAATGCTTTCCTGCAGATGTGCATCCCGTTTTGCTTTGGCCTTGCCCACACCTTCTTAGCATTTGTTTTCTGCGAATGTCTGAGTGATGGAGGGTGAAGGCCTGGCCCCATGCAGCTCTGCCATCTCATTCGATGGAGTCAGTATTTCACCTCGCTAACAGTGACAGAGACTGAATGGCAGAGCTGCATGCACAGACTCTCACAGAAATCAATTCTCACATCCATCATTAATATTGGAAGCGGTTCTCGCTCACCTCATCATTGGCCAGGCACAATAACCTGTGACTAATGGCCATTCACGCTCATAGGACATGGCCTGATTATAAGAATTTGCCATTAGTCCATAACAAAAAAACCTCAAGCTGTTAATTGACCAACGTGTATTCCTGAGGAAATCGGCATAATCAGATGGATATTCACTGCGCAGCAAGGGAAGGCACAGCCAGCTTGTGCATGGCTTTTATGATTCATCTGCTCTGATTTACTTTTGATTATTTTTCCCTCGTGTGAGGCCAGTGGTGTAAATCAAAGATTGGAGAAATAAGCCTGTGCTTTAAGTGACCCAAATTAAAAGCCAATTGCCACCTTTCTTCTCTCACTAGGCAGCTGTCCATTTCTGTGCGGGAACAGACATATGTTAAAGGCTGTCATTCAGCTGCAGGAGCAACACAGTTAGCTCATGGGCTCCCTTTGCCAATGTTTAAGGTCAGCTACTGGAAAAAGTTACAAAACAGCTCTTCCAGCCAGGTATAACCCTGCAGAAGGGCCTTCACTGAGGATTGTTATTTTTGTGCAAGTCAGAGAGATGCTGCCCTAGAAAAACAAGCAGCGATTCACAAAGTAAGCACAGCAAGATGGGTGCAGGGGGGTTTGGGGTTGGGTTTTTTTTGGCCATTTAAATTTTCCTGTTGCAAGATTCCTTTTTTGTTGATAAATGGGGTCCATTCCTGACAATGGTCAGGACACCTTGTCCATGTGGTAGATTTTCTTCTCCTTCCCTACCCATAAAGTATTACAGGAGCCTGAGCAACACTCTTCTGGCTGGCATGAGGGGAATAGGCACTAGTCTGGCAAGAAGGATACAGCCCAAGGAATTCACAAACTGTACCTAAACATGGTGACCCCCTGGTATCTCTGCTCTGGTCAGCAGCCTTCACTGTAGGACCCAGACTTGGATCTGGTTGGGATTTCCGTGACTAGAGCTCAGAAAAGTCGTTGGTGACTGTAGGAAAACAGCAAGCGAGCAGCCCATAAATCAGGTCATAGGATGAATTCAGAATGCGCTAATAAAATGAGAGCTCCCAATGAATTTCATTTCAGGCAGAGCAGAAACAGTTCCTCAGTTGAGACTCCAGGACAATTATAATTTCAGATGTGTGTCAGGCCAATGCAATTTGCCTACAAAAGCGTTTGCAGGCAGCAGCGGCTGGTCCAGAGGCAGGCCCCTCACCAGTTGCACTTCAGTAGGACTGAATAAGAAGGAAACAGTCTCCAGTTCTCTGAACAAAGCTCAAGCTAATTAAATATTTAATGTTTTTTTTTCCTCCCAAATCCTTTGGTTTCTTGCTCTTTCACACTGCGGTATGATGACATTTGAACAAACGCAGGGTTGGTAGCTTGGTCTCCTGGTACTGCCGCTCACACGAGCAGCTCACCCGCCGCAGCTGAAGCCCAGATGCCACATTTATGAGGTATTTTGTAGTGATCAGTTTTTAAAAAAAACATTTTTCCATCCCATGAAATTAACCGGCACCTGGGGAAATAGCAACCGGCTCCTCTCCTCTCCTGCAAATACCAGCCTTTCCCAGATGGGAAGGGATTTACTCTTTCCCTTTATTTACCTGCAAGATGTCCTTGATGGTGCTCAGAATCACAGAGGGAGAAGGAAAAATAAGAAAACCTTTGTAAGTGGAAAACCTTACAAACAGACCTACTGCACATGCTCCAACTGAGAGCCTTGTGAGGATCTATTATACTGAACAAACCCTGCATAATCTTCCCAGGGTGGCACAGTGAGCATCAATGAGACAGCACTAAGACAGAGGCAGCCTGATTTTTGTAACCACTCTGATTACTTTAAGACCCCAATTTAAAAGGCCATAGGTTTGTGCTGGCAGCGCAGGCAGAGATAACCGCTGACGGCTTTACAAATTGGTTTTCTTGCAGTCACCTCACTGCTGTGGGTCTGCAGCTGTTTCTGTGTTGTCTTTTTACCTGTGTGTGTTATGTACCAAATTATTTATGTTTTTCCCTACAAGAAAACCCAAAGCAAGGCAGAGATGAGTGGGAGCCTCGCCTCCATCTTCACACACCACTGTGTACCTCCCGCAGCCTTGAGCGCTCAGGCCAACCTCCCCTGGCCATCATATTCCTGCCTGCCAGCATCAAGCACCCTCTTGTGCTTGCTCATCAGCTAGCGTTGTGGCTGCAGAGTGTTCTTCAAGAGACTTTGGGACACTTAAAACCAACCAATCGACCCAGGAGAGCACCTGAGGGTTAAAATCTCAAATTGCTTTCATTTCTTCTCTTGCTAAGCTTCTCCTTGCTGTTGCAGTTCCCTTTCAGAATGGAGAGTCTGCAGGTGGCTGCTTTGACATCATCTGTGAAGACAAAGCAGTTTAAAAGCTGCTGTTACAGCTGGTTAGCCTTTGGCTGCCATGACCCCTCTGTTAGTAAAGGGAGAGTTATTCTTGTACTTCTTTTTCTAACAAAGGGTAAGTATTTGTTTTCATAGACTTTTGCAACCAACCAGGTTGTCGGGAGAGACGCCCGCCTGGCTCACAGCACTCTGGTTAAGGGAAGGCTGGTTCAATATAGACCAGAGCAACTAACAGCAGACAACGGTCACTTGAGAGTTTTCAGGTAAAATAAATACAGGTATTTTCTGAACAAAAATATTCCATCATTTGTGCTGTAGCTGCCCATTGCTATGTCACTAAAAACCCAACTGTTTGTGATTTCTCATTATGACCCTTCATGCCTGACTGAAAATTATTCAAGTGGGTGTGCTCCAAAAGGAACTACCCCTTCCCAGAGGGAATGCTGTTAGCTTTATGGCTGACACTTTCATGGCATAGGCATGGCTAATTTATTCTGATGTGGAAAAGCAGCACAGGCTTGCAGCATATGACAGCAATAGCTCTTCAGTTCATATACAGAAGCATATATAAAGTTCATATTTAAAGACATGAATAATACTCTTCCCCTCCCCCCCCCCCAAATAAATTGAAATTTGTTTCTGCACTAGAAAAAATACACATTATAGGTCTGGGGGGTTGGTGGTGGGTGTTTTTTTTAGCTCTATGTTCCTTTTCCCTTTAAAAGCTATATATGTATATTTTTAGTAAGCTACAACTGGGTGCCATTATATTGTTAAAACATGCACTGTAATTTCAAATTATTACTATCATCTTGACAGCACCATCTCATAATAAATCATTTTAATCCATTATCTAAAATCAACTTTTAATTAAAAGAATACATTATATTTGTTGTCTGAGCCTAAATTACCCTGATTATTTTAAAATTACGTGTGATGTTGGCACACGCTCAGTCTATGGCATATATATTTCTGTTGGGCTTTGTTGTCTGCCTGAAACGTGAATTTCAGTTATCAAGCATTAGTAAGTGTTTAGGAATGCTCAGGGTCTGCAATTAATTTTGCCAGGAATTATCTCTTTTTGTAGCCTGTATGTTAGAAGGAGCACATGATCCTCTTTCCAAACTGTACTGTATTTGCACAAAATTGGTATTTTTCTAACCTTAACAAGAAAGGTTTGCAGGAACCGGAACCCATCTGACACCTGGCTCAAGCTCCAACAAAGGTGTCCTACTGGGCATGTACTCTGTTCAGTGTATTATTTGGGCACCCCTGATGCTGTGCTACGCCCTGACTGCCTGCCAGTTACTTTGACATTTTATACTTAATGCAGGAGGCCGAAAGTCACCTACAGACAGTCCCTCGAGGCCACACATGGCAGCACGTGGTTGCAGGGAAAAGGCAGGACCCCTGTGTGCATCACTGCCCACCTCTGCAAGTGCCTGGAGAGGCCGATGAGAGGATGTTCCTGTGCCCCAGTCAGTCACACAGCTATCAAAGGCAGGTAGAGCTTCTCCACTGTCATCCCAACAACAAAACCAGCTTCACTAATAATGAAATCAGACACTGAGTACATTGGAATATTTTATTTTGACTTTACATGCGGTGTTAAAAACCCAAAGAACGTATTATTTACACATCCACAATACAAGTTTACAAGATATCTATACATGTTAAAGTACTCTATAGTATAGAGCAGCTTCATTTAAGGGTTACTTTTTTATGCCGTACCATTAAAAAAGATACAATCTGCGTTTACCTTTGCACAAATGGATAAAGCATCTTTTATTATTAAATTAACAGAATAAGGACTAGGTTGAATGTTAGAAATTTCAACATAAATACTGAGAGAACTCACATTACCATCTACAAGGCAGCACAATGTTACAGGAGGTTATCAGGGTTCACATACATTTATTGTTCGGTTTCACACAAGTCTGTATTAATATTTGTAAAGTGAATTCAGATCAGTTTGTGTCTTTTGACAACCAAGTACATTTTTAATAGTTATTAATCTGTAGTGTTTTAGTTGCAGGACAGAAGTGTTTAGGAAAAGAGATCATTGATTTTTGGATCCAGAGGTCTCGGGAAATAAATGTCCCTTACAGCCTTACAAGAAAAAAATGACTACTTCTATCCTCTATTCTTTGTTCTGTAACAGAGATCCTCTCTTCAGTGACTAACCTTTTCTCCCCCTTGAACACATAATATAAATCTCCACCGTCTCTGAAACCCATTGCAGTTATTTGTCCCACTAATTCATGAATATTCCTCTGCTGTGGTTATTTCTATAGTTATGTTCAATAAACAATGTGGTAGTGTGTAGTTTGCAAGCTAAAATAGCCATCTGTGTTGAACATCAGCTGCAAGTGGATACTGTAAAACCTACTAAATAGCTTACACAACTTTAGCAGGTGTTCCATTACCCTAGAAACCTCATTTGATTTCACATTATATGTGTTTGATCCTTCGGAGAGCTGGAGTGGAATGTTTATCATGGTAAGGTGATTTAATGCTGCTGTCTTCTTGGACTGTAGGCTGCCTTTAGTTACCATTAATTATTCTCGCTTTTTATCTTTTTTTTTTTGGGTGCTGTTGAGAGGTTTTATAACTGGCACTCGGGAGATATGTGCTATAGTGAGAACACTTGACAGATTCATTTATTTTTTTAGTACTTTTATCATTTGCATGAATAAGGCACAAAATGCACAGATTCAGGTAAACTCACACATAATATTTACAGAATATTGTCATTACCTGCATGACTTTGGAAAAAAAAACAACCTTACATTACACAACAAAAACGAATTGATTGCACTACTGTTGAGTTTTCACAGACTGCTTCTGCCAGGCCAATTAATGTTTCTTCTTTTTTATTGACAAGAGTCTATCAGCGTGTAGGGCATTATTAAATGCAACAAAAACATAACCTTCTCTAGCTACACAGGCCTTTGCTCAGTGGATTGATTATTAGCTGCCCTCAATGAGAAGTACAGGGTCACAGGTTCACAGTGGCCAGGTACTGGATGGAGGCACTGTGGAAACACAGCGCAACTCCACCGCTCCAGCCCAAACCACTAGATTTGAAATGCACAGCTCTGAATCAATAGCAGCATAACAGAGTTATGAAGAATTAAACAATCTGCGCTCTTTCACTGGGTGACTAGCTCATCGAGGCGGTAGTGTTCAGAAGGTTGGCAGAGATGTGCAGTTCATCCTTAGCTGTCTCCAAACGGAACCCAACGGGCTGCAGAAGGCAGAGTCATCTGTTTGTTCAGTCATGCTCAATGTAAACAATTCCATAGCATAAAAGATGCAATGGGAATCTAAGCACGTCCTAGTGTGTACAGTACACACGCACATCCACACACACGCACAGCTTTATCTGTGGCACAAACAAAATGCCACACACATGGAGAGAAAAAAATAATAATGCTACAGTTGGGCCAGAGACTGAATTCCAGAAAATTGATTGTTAACCCAGATAGTCGTTGAGACATTACCGTTTTCTGACATTTGTGCAAGAGGCAAGGTGAATGCATACATAGTAAAACGTTCACATTTAATGGGAAGGACCACGCTTAATGGCAGTCTAAAATGGAACCCATTTTTCAAGTATTTGCTCACTGATTTTTTTCCCAGTAACTTTTTTAGCTATTCAGAACAGTAAAGTAGCCCCCACCCCATTGTGCTACATGTCTCCTTAGCTCCAAACAAAAGAAATGTAATGACCAGCACTTTCCTTTGTTTTTTGTGTTTGCTCTTAGCAAGTACGCAAAGCCTTGCTATAGCTACATGTGGCAAGACACAAATGTTGCTGAAGTAAAGACAGTTTCTTTGGCCACTTTGTTCTCTGTAATAACAAGCAAGTCTCTGTCTTCTGTGTCTACCACAACATCATCTCACAACCTGTACAGGTCAACGCCACACTCATTTTTAGCACAGACATGTCCTAGTAACTGTACTTGTTCAGTGGTCTGACTGAAGTTGTCTGGGGAACGAATGAGGGTTTTGGTGGCACATCAGGTTTTAAGGAGGATGTCCTCTTTATGCCTGTACGAGGAAGGGTGCCGTTGCTCGTGTAACTGCTCTGCCTGGACAAGGAAGGCTGGAGGTGAACGCTGACAGGCGTCCCTTGCATATAGTCCATCTTTGTGCCTGCCGTGGGAGGTATGTATCCCCCACGATTAATACTAGGCTGTCTGGATAACAAAACACCATTTGGTGAGTTTAAGTTTTTAGGAAGGGCAGATATTGAATGCCTCTGTGAAGAATTTTTGTGATAACCTCTCTGCCTTTCCAGAGAGGTCATTGGTACTCCAGGGGTGGTGGGAACGTCCACTCGTTTTGTGGGGCTGTTTCTTGGAAGAGTTGATGGAGGAGAGTATAAAGATGCCTCCCTGTTGGGAACCTTAGGTGGGATCTCAGACATATTTCCCATTGGATCCAACATTAAAGTCTGGTGGGCCACTTGAATATCTCCCATAATTGCTTTGGGATTACCAGTAGTTTCATTTAAGTGTTTCAGAAAATCATTCAGGGTGTTCCTGGAATCAACAGATCTCCTGTGGTCTCTTTTGCTGGATGGTTTTGTAAGTGGGTGATCAATATGCTGCATCTTTTTGTCTGCCTTGTGTGCATTAGAATTTGAGAAAGACGTATTGTAATCATGGGTAGCATTGGGAAGAACAATAGCACTAGGGATATGCCCGTGACTTAGAGGAGAGTGCGGTGGAGGACTGGAAGGAAAAAACTGAGGGCTTTTTAGCGGCGTTTCCTTTCGTGAGGCATTGAGGTTACCAAGTGCTTTGTCCGACTGACTCTTCATAGCCTGCAGAGTCTTTTGTTGAAGAACTGGTGTAGATTCAGGAGTTGGAAGCGCAGCTAATTCCGGAGGCTGGCCCCTGTGGTCCATCATCATGGCCTTCGTGTCACCGTTTGGTGGCAACTCCTTCCTGCTAGTCAACAGGTTTGTGTAAAGTTTAGGGGAATCAATGTTTTGTTGATACTCCTTAACAGGACTATCAAAGAGCCCATTCAGTTTAGCAAAGCTCCCACTGGAGTCAGTACAGGACTGAGCAGATTCTGCATCTTTGTGTATTTTTCTGGATTTCCGTACAAATATATCCCGGTAACAGTAAACGGCCACTCCCGCAATAAAGGCTCCCAGGACAAAAGCGGCAAAGACACAAGTGATAAGGACATTCATATGTACCATTTGGTTGGACTCTCCTGATTGTACTTCCCACCTTACACCTGCAAAAGACACGCAGTATATCATAAATCTACACACAGTTCATATGGATACATTGAGAAGGATGTAGCCTCCCTCAGGGCTGTGTCTAGGAAGTGTTTGTAAGTGCTCTGTGTAACTCAGCTGGATCCTGCACTGCTGAATGCAAATAGTTTTCTAAATAAAAATGTGTGAGCATTGACCAGTCTAAACAAAGACTGTCCATTTTCTTTTATAACATCAAATTCTTGTTCAAGCTTCTCTCCTTGTATGTCTTTCTGTTTAGCCTGTCCCCAAATTTTCTTTAAGGCTCACAAATAGGGGCCTGTATGTTATTAACATTAATAATTTCATCTGGAAAATTGAGGTTGGAAGGTGCTACTGGGCCAGAAAACAATAACTCATGGATGGATTTCTCTCTCAAGTTTCTGCCCAACTCATAAATCAGTAGCAAGAGAGACAGGATTATGCAAATGTTGTGTAAAACTCTATCACGTACATATTGCATAGTGATAACCATGTTAATCTACTACAGTGTAGAACTTGTGAACTAACCCAGCCACAGGCTGCTAGTCTTGGAGTGGCACACCTTGCATTACATAAATGTGCAACTGTGGAAGTTTCAGATTATTAGAGCACTAATTTTTCTTTTTAGTCAATAATGAACATAAATAGTTGTATAACATTAAAAACCCCCAAATTGCAAGGTTAAATTATTAGAGAATGTTAAAATTTAGAAAACTTTTAGCTTAGACCAAAACCTTGAATACTAAATTAGTTTTTTATTTGTGTATTAACAAGCTCCCTTTGTTTTCTGAGATTTTTTTAAAGCAACCACAGACATCTTGCAACTAAGACAATGTTAGTTTTTAATGGAAGTAATTCTGTTAACTATCCCAAGGCATGTTAAAATGAAAGAGCAAGAGGAAGGAACAGGTTCACTTTTGTTACAGGCAAGGCCTTTGAACATTGTTAATGTTCAGGGTTATAGGTTTTAATGGCACAGTGCAGAAGAAAGAAAACATGAATAAAGTTCACTATTAGCTATGACAGGAGAGCAAATGATAACAAAAACTTAAAGCAAAATGGAAAATAACTGCAACAAATTAAAATGACAAATGCACTGCCAGAATGGCTGACAGGAAACCTGATATGTTTTGGTGAATGGTAATAAAACACAAATGGGTTTTGGCTGGTGAGATTTTCAGTAAATACAGAATTGTGCAAACATGTCTGTCACCTGGCTATGCTGTGTACTGATGAAGACTTGGGTTAAGTTTTTGTTACTGGAGTGAAAGCTTCTTGATTCTTTGGTTGACTGCAGCAGTCCTGCTGAATTAAACCCTTTGTTGCTGCAAGAGCCTAATCAAAGGTTCACTTAGCCAAAAGAATGCCTACAGAAAGATGAGTTATACGCAGAATATGCTTCTTCTTATGTTCAGGTTAAAACCTGTGTGTGTCTCACTATGCACTGAGATCATCTGTAAAAGGATGCTCATAGCCACAGCTTAAAATTTCAACACATGCTTACTCAGATCTGACCCATGCTCTTCAGGAAGGTGGTGCAGGCAGGCAGAGTCTGGGATGCACCCCATTTAATGCATGGATCTCCCATGGACCTGTGCTTTGTTTTCTGTTCTGTCACTCCAAACCAACCAAAGAACCAACTCTCCCTTAAGCTCTTGTAAGCAACCATTCATGAGCACCAATAGTCTTATCCAAACAAGACTGGTCTGAAAACAACCATCAGAGCTGCAGAAAAAGTCTTGAATGTAGATTTTTTTAATGCATCCAGAACTCCTACTGATTTTAATGGGAGCTTTGGAGCACCCCAGGAATAAAAGGCTGAGCTTATTATCTGTATTTCCCATTATAAGCTCTAAGCAGCACTTTGTACACCAGATAAGTAGGTAAGAAAAACATGATTGCACTGTCTGCATATTCACGGGAAATGGGTGTAAAATATAGCCTAACAATCATGGCTATTACATTTTAGCCTTAGACAATGCTGAGACTATCAGGTTTCCATTCAGCTGCAATGTATTCCCTGGTAAGGCCTTACCCTTTGGGACACCTGATAATGGATCAGAATAATCAGAAGTGTTTGGATCATCTTGAACTACAAATTTCCGAGAGCCAGTCACTTTAGGTTTCCAGGAACCAATCACTTTGGGTGATATAACTGGGATACTTGCCATTGTGGTAATGGAAGCTGAGGAGAACTTCATGTCTGTGGTGGCAAACAGATTTTTATTAACGTGTTTCATGGCACATCTAAGCTATAGCTGGAGACAGTATGTAAAGGGAGTTACAAGTCAGAGCAAAACGTGACCCCCCTACACTCTGCAGAGGTACAGAGGGCTGATCAAAATCAATTGCTTCAACACAAAAAAATACATTAAAACATCAACAGCTGCTAGCCGAAAAAGCCAGAAGTCAAACACGAAAGCAGTGCAAAAGTTAAAGTAAGCAACTGGTGCAGGTGAAAGGCACATTTTATTCTATTTAATTGCCATGTTCCTCACTGGAGACAATGCACTTGGCTGCCTTCTAAACACCAACAAAAAAAAGTTACTCGGAAAGATCCGCGCTCCTGACAGGTTACTCCTGAGAAACCAGATCAGCTCCACTAGCGCTATTAGGTTATACCAGGAAGTGCTGAATAAGCCATTTCTACAGGTGGGGATGAAAGGAATGTTTTAACCCCTGTTTTGTAATGGTTCCTAAGGAACAATGTTGCACAGATTCTTGCTCCTCTGTAGTACATTTGCTGAACAAAATCACCACGGCCTACTTGAAAATGCACGTGAGGAGGAAACACATCAAATTGGGGTTACAATCCAAAGTCTGCTTTGCACACTCAAGTGCTTTGTGTTCATTGTCCCAGCAGGTTTAGGCATGAATGTCTATGGCTCAAGATCT